GTTGATTTAATTACCTTTAAATAATTAAACTAATTTAGAAATAGCTTTCGCATTTAAACATTATAAAAAGAAATGCTGGTATAAGTCAAAAGAAGATAAAGTTTGGCAATAACTTTATCTCTAGATAACCACTCCTATGAGATATGTCTTGGTATTATTTGTTCGTTTTCTGTATATTTTCTAATTTTCAATTGAAGAAAATTAGTTTCTCAGATGACTTCAAATTCTGCCTCTTTTATGAACTTGGTGACCACAGAAGTATCTCGAAGATTGGTTTGCAAACCACTGAGGAAGGTCAATTTATTGAAGGAGTTCGGTGACAAGTAGGTATGGCTTAATTTTGAGACGATAATTTCAACGAATTTGCCTCGAAATTTGCCGAAATTGATCACAAAAAGCGATGAATTTCTTATAACTGTTCGTGAAAAACGTGAGAAACGTGCGTTTTTCAAAGATATTTAGATTCTTCTATAACTTCCCGATTTTATTTACAAAAAGAGATTAACTTCTTATAACTGTTCGTGAGAGACACGTATGAGAGACTCGTTATCTCTACATCACCATACTCATTAGTCATGGAATTATTTACTAATTTATAGTCTAATTTCTAATTCTCAGTTAGATCTCAAGAAAATGTATTTCTCGGATGACTCCAAATTCTGCCCTTTAAATGATCTTGGTGACCATACAGGGTTTCTCGAAGATTGGTCTGCAAACCATTGAGGTAGGTATTGTTGGATGTTGAGATGAGAATTTTAACGTATATTTCCCGAAAGTAATCACACAAAGCGATGAATTGCTTATGTCTCTTCCTGAGAAAAACATTATGTCAGAGTGAGTTTTCATACTCGATAATGACCAGCGTTTTGCCGACTTAAATCATGTGAAAAATAAATAATACGTCTACTGCATTCGTAATATTAAAAATCAATTAACAGCATAAATATTTAGTGCTCGTATTTTGTGCTTTGTTTTGCCACAATGTAGTAATCGAGAAGCCTATTAGTAAATCGTAATACATTTTCCAGTGTTTAAATTCTGGTGCTTCATAGATCTTTTGTGATTATACAGCAGATAATTTCTGATTGAAATTTTATTAACAGCCTTTAACAAATTAACACCTAATTTATTATTAAATCTAATTATCACAACCTAATTTTCTGTCTAATTTCTAATTCTCAATTGAAAAAAAAAAATGTTTCTCAGACTCCAAATTCTGCCCCTTTAATTAACTTGGCTTTCCAACATCTTTATCTCCAGATCATTACCCTCATTAGTTTTGGGTTGGAATTATTTTTTAATTTTTTGTCTTAATTATTAATTTTAAATTAAAGAAAATTTGTTTCTCAGATGACTCCAAATTCTGCCTCTTTTATGAAGTTGGTGACCACAGAAGACTCTCGAAGATTGGTTTCAAAACCACTGAGGAGGTTGATTTATTGAAGAAGTCCCGGCACTAGTAGGTATGGCTTGATTTTGAGATGAAAATTTCAACGAGTTTGCCGAAATGGATCACAAAATGCGATGAATTTCTTATAGCTGTTCGTGAGAAACTGTTTATGTAAGTGGGATTTCATACTTGAATTATAGCCAACGTTTGATCGAATGCATTTAACAAATAATTTTATGCATCATATTTAGTGCTTTTATTTTGCCATAGATGCATCAAAATCAAAAATCATATTAATAACTCCCGATACTTCTTTGACTGCTTATATTCTGATGGATCATAGATTTTTTGTGAACAGCAGATAATTCTTGACTGAAATTTTATTAACCACCTTTTACCAATTAACAAATAGCATTCTGTTTTATGGCTTCTGAAAAGGAAGTTGATTTAATTACCTTTAAATAATTAAACTAATTTAGAAATAGCCTTCGTATTTAAACATTATAAAAAGAAATGCTGGTATAAGTCAAATGAAGATAAAGTTTGGTAATAACTTCATCTCTAGATAACCATTCTCATTAGTTATGTTGTAATTAGTACAGCAGTTTAGTAATGAAATTTCTAACTTTCAATTGAAGAAAAATGGGTTTTCAGACTCCAAATTCTGCTCCTTTAATAAACTTGGTGACTATACAGGGTTTTTCAAAGATTGGTTTGCAAACTTCTGAGGTATTGATTGGTGTTGAGAGGAGCATTTGAAAGAGTTTTCCGATTTTATTTACAAAAATCGATTTATATCTTATAACGTTCGTGAGAAAATATTTTTATGGGAGTGGATTTTCATACTTGATTATGACCAGCATTTGACCGATTTAAATCATTATATTTAAATAAAAATCAATGTTTTAAATCAAATGAAAAATTCAGAAATCAATTTTTTTATTGCAAAATATACATATAAATAATATCTAATATATGTGATAAACAAAAAATAATTTGCTAACAACAAACACTTATTTTCATCATTATATATGTAGAGGAATTTTCTGGCTTTTTTTACTCCTAATGTATTTTGGTAAATTGGATTGAACGAGTTTTAATGTTGGAAAAATTCTCTCTACTGAAGTTGATGAGGCTTCAGCACATAAAAATTGCTTCAGTATAGAAAGAAGTTCTTCCATTTGGGGCATGTTTTTTTTTGCAAAACCCATAATTGCCTAGTGTACACACAATGCATAGCAGCACTTTCTAAAACATAGGTTCCGAAAATGGTTCCAGTTTTGCTTTAAGTTTTATAAATTGTAGTAATCGAATAGTCTCAAATATTTCTTTCGCGATACTGAATTGCTTTCTAGAGGGTAATGGCAACTCTCATATTGGTAAAATAATATGCCAAAGGGTTTGGAAGTCTCCAAATAGATAAAGCTATATTTTTACTATTGCCTAGTACTACCTTGACGAAATATATAGGGGTAATTTGTTGTTATTTGTCGTTATCTGTACATTTTGTGCGTACTTATTTTTATTTTTTTGTAACTAATTTTGTTGCCTTTCTCTGTGTGTATTTTTATCTCCTTTTGAAGGAAGTCTCCAAATAGATAAAGCTATATTTTTACTATTGCCTAGTACTACCTTGACGAAATATATAGGGGTAATTTGTTGTTATTTGTCGTTATCTGTACATTTTGTGCGTATTTATTTTTATTTTTTTGTAACTAATTTTGTTGCCTTTCTCTGTGTGTATTTTTATCTCCTTTTGAATTTCAGGCCTCCATTGTGTTTATTTCTTTTAACTTACACACTTTTGTTTCATTTAATAACGTTATGCCAAGATGGCCAAGTGTTATGCTGTCAAATAAATTTTTTGTACGATGTCTTAAAGCTTTCTTATCTTTTTGGAATTGTTTTCTTGTAGGTATATTTTTGCTCATCGTAGGTACATATATTACAATGCTCCATGACAATTGGCTTTCTACCACTATTATTACTATTGTAAAGTAATGATGGAACTAATATAGGTACTTACATTTATTTATCTATAACAGCGAATTCTACTAGAAACTATATACTTAGTCAGGCTATTATACTTGGAAGTTTGAGAATTGGACAATATTATGTATATAAAAATAAACGTCTTATATAAAATGATATACAGGCATAAATAATTAAAAAGGCAGTAAAGTTCATGAAAATATAAAATAAAAAATATATTCAATAAATAACTTAGGCTATTAATTCAATATCAATAAACGTTAATCAAACATCAAATACTTAAAGTGTACATGTCAGCATCATCAAATTAAAACTTTAATCATCTGCTGATGATGCTAACACGGCTGGCGAAACGCCTGTCCACTGCAAAAGTAAAGTGTTTTTGGTGTATTGTGGTAAATTAGTGTTTTATTTTGTTGTTGTAACAGCAAAGATTTTAACCCTGAACTGTAATAAAAAATTGAGCTAAAAATAAAATCAAAATAAAACAAAAAGTTATTGAAAAAGAAAAAGGAATTGATAAATTCAAAGAGAAAAATTTCCAAAATAAGAAAAACAAAAAATTTAAAAAATGTCAGAATAAGGACCTGATAATGTTAATCAGAAGAGACAAACATCCCAAATAATTAGTGAAACAAAAAGGAACAAAAAACTGAAAAAATATCAAGAGTCAGGACCAGACAATATCAACCTGAACATCAAAGGTTTCAACCCCCAAATCTAATAAAAACTTGAACTGAAAATAAAATCAAAATAAAAAAAAATAGAAAAAGGAATTGATAAATTCGAAGAGACAAATTTCCCAAATAATTAGAAAAACAAAAAATTGAAAAAAATATCAGAATAAGGACTCGATAATGTCAAACAGAAGAGACAAACCCCAAATAATTGTTCAAACAAAAAAGAACAAAAAACTGAAAAAAATTAATATCAACCCGAACGGACAAAGTTCCAAAATGATAATCAGTAAAACAAAAGAGACAATCAAAGCGTGTGCATACATATCACGACGGATCATCACATCCGGCGTAAAACGAAGCGCCCGCAATCGTCACCAATTGAGCGCCCCCTATTTTGAATCCACGCTCGAAAACTAAACGCAACAGGACACATGTCGTGCCCCCCTCCTTTTCTACGAGCGGCGGCCGTCGCCGTCTCGCCGAGGGGGCACCGCAACCTCCGCCTAGCGCTCCGCTAAAATCTCTATTCGAACCGCCAGCTAGCGCACTACCGATTCCCAAACGCCGTCATCGAACTAACCAAACAAAACTAGCGGTTTCTTACGCTGTTAATATTTTTAGACGTTCGTTGTCGTCGAGGTCTTTTCTAAATCGGAAAATTCCAAACCCTTAAATCTACTTTACGTCGATGCATGCAAATTACCTGGGCAACTTTGGTAAAACAACACGAAAACAAATGTTAATGACCCGTTAGCGAATTTCCTCCGATCTAAAAACACACTTTTCACCGGCTAAACATCGATAAATGGATAAATCCCGTACTTTTCACTCGATTTTGCCGCGTCCCAGTCCGAAACGGACATTTCCGATCGAAATTTAAGGTAAATTTCCAATTTAGGGGTTAAAAACAACACGAAAAGTAGGGTTTTATTACTTACCCTGAACGGTAACAACGCCACCTATACAAAACGCTTGCTTTTCTGTTCCGACGAAAGCACGTACTCCATCAGCGACTGCTACGACGACGCCCGACTGCTTCCGAACCGGTCCGCGACACAGATGTTCGCCACAGAAACGACGGAACCTGGCAGTAAAAATAATGGAAATTCGACGAGAAAATGGCGATTTTCCGGCGATTTTTCAACAGATTTAGATAGGTCTCGACGCGGCCGAACCGAATATGTAAAAATGTTTAAGGATTTGGACCGATTTTTGGGCGAAATCGAACAAAGAAACGAGGCGTTATAATGTAGCTACGATCACGCGGTGACTCAACATTTAGATATATTTTCAACTTGACGAGTTGAGATAGGGACGTGGTTCTTTAGCCAGGAATTTTTTGTGTAGTTTGTGAAACGGCCGCCAGGAGGCCGGAATAAATTGCTTCGGCCGGCCGGGCGAATAAAACGTATTTATTAATTTTCCAGGCATGTAATGTTATGGCGCGGGTTCAAGGTTCACTTCTTTATTTAATTGTTCGGATCGAGACACGGTATCTATATTTGTTCGGTCGAAATCACGGTTTTCGATCGATTTTCGGCAGGAATTTTCGACGAATTCCGAATAAATATTCATAATTTTTCATGTATTGTATGTGGCGATCCTTTACGTAATCGTTTTCGAACATTACATTTACTTTTGGAGATTGTCGGCCATTTTAAATATATATAAAGGAGAGGAGAAGGTCACGAGATAGATAAAATTAGAAACTAGAAATTCGTCTTTTTAATTTTGTTGCATTTGACGTTTAGCTATACTTTTATAGCGAGTGAGTCTGATTAGAATGCATAAAATCGCATTTATGAACCATAAATGAGGAATTATATGTTTTAAAAATTTTATTCCATGTTTTACAGTAATGAAACTGTGCTTACTTTTATTTTGGTTAGCCATTTTTTTGTTTGTTTATTAGTTAATCAATATTTGTTGTTGATTTGTAGTTTTAAATAGCGATAAGCAAATGCAAGAAAGAGACCAAGACCAGAGGAGTCAGCAGTTAATAAGTAGTCTTAGTCTTGGTCTTGTAGGGTCCAGTCTTGGTCTCGGTCTTCGTCTTGCTGCAAGGCACGTCTTCCATTTTTAAAAAGATTTTTACTAGAGGCACTTTCTACATAAAGAATCTTTAAATAAATAGTATTTTTAGACACAAAACAAACTTTAAAGAAAGAAATTATTAGAATATTTCTGTGACGAAAATTTTTATTTTTTAATATATTATATTCAATCAGCAGTTAGGTATTTCTTTAAAATTTAATGCAATAGTCGGGAATACACTATATACCGGGTGTTGCATCGTCGAGCGGGACATAGGAAATCCCATGTAAATTTTAATGGGGTCAATTGTTGGCTTCCCTAATTATTTTAGAGAATAATTCTATTTAGGTTTATTGAAGAGCACTAAAACCCACATTCAAAAGAATAACTTTAGATATTTTTGATTAGCCCGTTTACGAGTTATCGCCGATTTCTTTTTAAATATTTCTCCTTTTTTATGGCCCGTATTTACTTATGAGCACCAATGTCAAGCACCAATGAAGTTGTCATTTCAGAAATTTATCTATTTAGTGCTTTATTATTATTATTAAAAACTCATACCTACATCGAAAATATTAGCCATGAATTACACTACCGAAGAAAAAGTATTGATTAAATGGTATAATCAAGGAAATAGTTATCAAAAGGTGTCGGACATGTTTGCTGCTCTGTATCCGAATAGACCGATACCTGGAAAATCTACAATCGCAAGGAATATCCAGAGATTTGAGACCAAAGGTACCCTAATAAATAACTGCAGATGTGAAGCAAGGCAGGAACAAAGAGAAGATGCAAGAAATGATACCGACTTGGAAGTTTTATTGTGCGTGGAAGAGAACGATGGAAAGATCAGCACAAGGAAACTTGAGGATGAAATAGGAATAGATCACACTACAGCGTTTCGAATTTTGAAACGACATAAATACTATTCCTTCAAATATGAAAAGCACCAAGAGCTACGAGATGGGGACGAAATACGGCGGCAGGCGTTTTGTTTTGATATGATGGAAAGAGCAAACACGGATAGGGAATTTTTAAAAAACATATGTTTCACTGACGAATGCACGTTTACCTTAAATAATGAACCCAATGTTCAAAATTATCGATATTGGAACAAAGAAAACCAACACAGGTTTGTCGAAACAAGGACGCAATATCCACAGAAAGTAAATGTTTGGGCAGGGATATTCGGACACAATATTATCGGGCCATTATTTCTTACGTGAAATTTAAATGCAGAATATTATTTGGAACTACTCGAAAATCATATTTTACCTGCTTTACATGATGCCGCTAGGGAATATCAGGAAGTTTGGTACCAAATGGATGGCTGCCCGGCACATAGTACCCTGGCTGTTCGGGAATATTTAGACAATAGTTTTAACGGAAACGTTATTGGCCTAAATCATACAGTAAATTGGCCAGCAAGGTCTCCTGAAATTCCTCCAAATGATTTCTTTCTCTGGGGCCATTTAAAAAACAGGATATACAAGGATAAAAAATATCCAAATCTAGACGAGTTAAAAAATGCTATATTTCTGCCGAATGCAATAGCATTTCAGTTTACCAACTAGCGAATGTAAGAAGAGAATTTTATGATCGCCTGGGTTATTGTCTAGCAGTCGATGGAGGAATATTTGAACATCTTCTTAAATCCTAAAGTTCTAACAATTTACAACCTAAATGAATAAGTGATTGAATATTATAATAATACTATAATTAACCTTGTAATCGATTACTTTATTTTAATTTAATTCATATTAATTTGTATTTATAAATACATCTTTAAGATTTCCGAGGTAGGACTAAGTTTTCAATAATAATAAAGCACTAAATAGATAAATTTCTGAAATGACAACTTCATTTGACAGTTATCTTTTACCTTGACTGGTGCTCATAAGTAAATACAGGGCCATAAGAAAGGAGAAATATTTAAAAAAAAATCGGCGATAACTCGTAAACGAGCTAATCAAAAATATCTAAAGATATTCTTTTGAATGTGGGTTTTAGTGCTCTTCAATAAACCTAAATAGAATTATTCTCTAAAATAATTAGAGAAGCCAATAATTCACCCCATTTAAATTTACATGGGATTTCCTATGTCCTGTCCGATGATGCAACACCCGGTATATATGTATAATCAAAAACCTTTCTACCCGAAGGTGTAAGGTATAATACTAAATTAAATAAATTCACTTAATTGTTACACTATACACAAATTGTTTCCATTTATTTTTGTCTCTTGCTAAACTTTTGGCTTCTGTTAATGATAATCCTTTATCCAAAAAAACACAGCTTTTTAAATAATATTTTTTTATTTCAAAACTGTAAAAACATTACAAAAAAAGACAAATACGTTTTTTAAGCTAGTTAGAGTGACAGTGGCCTATATTATAGTACACCACATGGTCAAAATTATTGTATATAACGATATTTTTATTTTATTTTGGACCAAATATGATTCTTTTTACATTTTTGGACATATTGGCTTACTATACGACTAACTAATATAAAATTAATAATCGAAGTGCAACTAGGCTGTTATTATAATTTTATTTCATAATGAGTGAAAATCAACAAAAACAAATTTGATTTTACACAGAAAATGCAAACAATTTTAATTATTTCCCACAACTAATAGTGTGTATTGCCTCCTCGAGCCTCAATCTGTGAGACGACGTGACATGCTCTCAATTAAGTTGTCCAGAAGATGTTGAGGAATGGCTTCCCATGTTTCACGCGCAGCAATTTTCAATTCATTTTAGGTACGGGGGGTATCATTCCTTTTGGCAATATGGCGTTTTAGCATGTCCCAAGCATGCCCGATCACATTCATATCTGGAGACATCGGTGGCCACCACAGTTTTGTTATACCCTCTTCCTCACAAAATTCGCGAACCGCTAAAGTGCGATGGGGAGGTGCATTATCGTCCATGTAAACAAATTCATCCCCCACTGTCCCTCGAATTGGACGTACAATAGGCTCTAAAACATCTCTAAGATATGAGGCCCCTGTCATTGTGCGATCAATAAAAACAAGAGGAGTTCGAGCTCCGTGCATTATACCTGCCCTTACCATAATGCTTCCCCTTGAAAGGGGACACGGGGTTGAGCTGCATTCAAGCGTGCTCGTCTTCCAGATGCTCGTCTTCCAGACCAAAGTTCGTCGCGAGTCTGACACTAGGCCTATTCTTGTTTCATCACTAAACATGACGAAATTCCAATTAGATCTATTTGCTTTCATCTCCTCAGCCCATTGTAGTCGCGTAATTTTGTTCTGTAAATTAAGCTTCGGAACACGTAGAGGCCTCCTTAAATGTAATCCTCTGTCATGGAGTCTTCTTGCTATGGTCTTTCTTGAAACATTTACTCCTTCAAGGCGAGCTAACTCATTTTTAATAGCAGTACTAGAAAGCAGGGGATTGCGTCGTGCAATTAGGGATATTTGAAGGTCTTGCACAGCAGTTGTAACTCTCTTCTACCTCTTCCAGGCTGGTATGAAACCTCGTTTGTCTCCCTGATTTTTTTTAATATTCGCGAAACATCACTTTGGTTAACTCCTACAATTTCAGCTATTGCAACTTGCCGATGGCCCTGTTGAGACAGTGTTACTATTCTGACTGTATTAAACTGTGAATTAATGTTTCTAGGCATTTTAAGGCCAAAACAATGGTCAAATTTCTTCTGTAACCCAAGAGACCACAAATCAAAATCAGCAAGAATTTGTAATAATATTGGGTCTGAAGTTATGGAAAATAATGATAAAGAAAGGATTCCCCATGCACTTAATTTATGTATTAAAGAGCTGTTATCACAGAACTTATATTAAGATGGTAAAAGGGGATAATACAATAGAAGTTAATAGAGGTACAAGACAAGGATGTCCTCTTTCCCCTACACTTTTTAATATATATGTTGACCAGGTTCTAAGAGAATGGAAAGAAATAGCACCAAGAGGTATCCCAATAGACCGGCAATATTTTCTGAATATACTACTGTTTGCAGACGAACAAGTGATAGTCGCATCAGACCAGGATACCTTACAAAGGCAGGTTCATCTCCTAGACAACTATCTACCGAAAAAACAAAAGTGATGGCACACTCACTGGGGCAAAGACGGAATCCGCACCAAAATAGTTTTAAGAAATAAACCACTACAACAAACATCGGACTTCAGCTTCTTGGGATGCCACATAACCTATGATAAAGATAATGACTACATGAAAAATATAAATAAATTCCA